GGGTCAGCTGGTCGTAGGAGGAGATCAGGTCAGTTAAGCAGATTACATACCTGTCAAAAATCGTTCCCTCTCTTTTCCATTCAGAGGTTTCTTGGCTGTGGCTGCTTCGTCTTCGACAGTAGCTACGTAATCCAGTAGTCTGGACACCAGCATTACAACCCAGCTGATCATGGGAATGTCTAAAACTCCTTCAAGATAAATAGATTTGCAGGCCTTAATAAAGTTTTGAAGCCATAATGAACTAGCTTTAAAGAAATCATTAAAAGCATTAGATGGCACACATTTCACTAGGCCACAAAGATTCTGCTCCCTTTTTTTTCAAAATGAGGATAAGCGTCTGAGCACTCATAAGTGGGGGAAGAAATCAAACATTCAGTATAGAACTCAGGTGCAAGAGAAAACATCACAGTTCTCTTAGTCTTATCAAGTCAGAATTCAAAAGCTTCACCTCTGCTGTTAAAGCTAAAAATTAGAAGGCTTTTTTTTTTTAAAAAAAAAAAAAGGCAAAAATTATATGTCTAAATCTCCTAAATACCAAATGGAGAATGACAGTTCCTTGCATTAAAGCATTTAAATTAGATGTCTCTAATTCCATAGTGTGAAATTCCTCTATCAACCAGGGCTCCAAAAAGTTAAAACCATGCACCTAAACACCTTCATTTTTACTCCTTTGTTAGTGAATTTTCACATAGCTATTTGAGTAAGATGCAGGAAACCCACGACCGAGTTCAGTCTAGATGAAAATTGCTGGTGGCACTAATGACTGGCTACTGCCTATTTCAGTCTCACACTTTAAATGTGGTATTTTTGTATAGGCAGAAGGGGAAAAAAGAAAAGGTATCTTACACATCATGCATGAAAAAATCTTTGTGTGCATGAGGATATCTAAATGAACAGTTCTAAAGTGAACTCATGAGTGCTGAAAGACCAGAAACCTACAGTTAACTACCACTTACGCACAGTCATTATGCAAATGGCATACCTTTACATAATACCAATACAGCAGTCACTAGTGCTAGAGGTTACACACACATTTTCACATCTGCGCACCGTGCTGAGCCACATTTAGCTACACTACACTTTTCATGCACTGACCTCAAAAAAGATTTAACTCAAACTATTATTAATTCCAGGTCACACAAGAAAACTAAGGCACAGAAACAACTTGTCCAAAATCACATGCTGCTGCTGGCAGCCCAAGCAACAAGGATGCAGGCCCTAATCAGTAACTCCAGTTTCCCATCCACACTGGCAGAAAGCAGCCCACCCCAAGCAGGCGGAGGAGCAGGAGGCGTCCCCATAACAGGACCTGAGCTGCAGACTAAATTGCAAAACCAGAAATGACTAGCACTGGTGACCACTACAAACCTTCCTGCTTGGCAGAATACAAAGAAAGGAGTCTGCTGCAGAGTGAAGTATAAATCTTTCATACTTCTGTTTTAACAAGTGCAATTCTTTTTCCTTTTATCTCTTAAAAAAATAAAATTTTTCAGCTTCGCTTCCTGCCTCCAAGTGTCTTTTGCTTATTCCCCCCCCCGGCGCCTCAAAGTTTATAACTTCTCTTTACCCACAAAACTCACCTCTTGCTCTGATTGTCCTTTGTTTTCTGACTTTTTCCCCAGTAAATTTTCACCCCTTTGACCCTTTGTTATGTGTGATAGTTCTCAAGTGGGAATTTCTTCTGCCGCACCTGATGCTTCCACCACAGATAATAATGCCCTAGTACTTACCTGCACTGTCCAGGAGGAAGGAAGCTGGAAGACCAGCAAATAAAGCTCTGAAGTATCAGTTACTTCTGCTTCCTAAAGTCCTCCATGAGGACAACTAGTAAGGCAAGAGCTATGAAAGGAATTGGCAGCTGTGGGGAGAGCGCAAACAGAGGTAGAGGAGACGTAAGCTTGGGTTTGCCTCAAACTAGTTAGAGATTACAGCAGGATATGCCCGTGATCGAGAAAGCACATGGCAGAACAATGGGAAGCACTAGGACAGCTTATGACACCAGCTGTGGGCTTGTTTACATCAGAAGACAAGGTAAAAAGTAAGGACAGAGTTTCAGCTGGCATTTGTCAACTTCACAACACTAAGGATTTTAAACAACCTATCTTCTACAGTACTCTGCTACCCTCACATCACGAATGGATGTAGCCTAGATCTCCATGTTTTCAAAAGCAAGTATTTTCTTAAAACTTCGGGTAGTTAAGAAAACACTCACAGAAAATGGAGAATGTAATTTTTTTTTTTTAGGGTAAAACCACCATAAATTCCTCGTGATTACAAAACACCCCCATGTAGTTTGCAGAAACCATGCAGATACACCTAATCTGTCTTCATAACCACGTTTCACCTTGAAAGCCTAAAACTTATAAAGGACCTTACGAGCAAAAGGGGCACTTCTTCCCAAAATGCTAAATTCCAAAGTCATTTACTGGAGTCACTAGAGCTGTCTACGCGTTGGATGTCTCCCCCCACTTTGTTAAAACTTTAAAGCTTCCTAGCTGAATTAAAAGCAACCAAATAGATTTTCCTCAGGTTTAAATGGGGAGCTGGGGGAGGAATATCTTTTACCACCTATAGAACAAAACGTTTCAGCACATTTTAAAAGACAACTGTGTTTTCAAAATATAGTAAATGAGCAATTTCTTCGTTTAATACACCAAAAATTGTGAGCTAGTCTCTCAGTTTTCTAGCTTATAATGAATATGAAAATATAGTTTCCCACATTAGAGGGCTACCTTCAGTTCTTCTGTGCACAGGCAAATGAGGTTGCAGTGGTGACAGCAGGTTATCCAGGAGATTAAGTAAACTTTCTAAAACACCACTGTTGCTAAGCGATCTTTGGCCAATGCAAGAAAGCAACATGAAGACCCTAAAAATAAAATTTACATATTTAATATTTTTTTTTTTCAGATCCAGTAATATTCTGAAACACTCCTCATAGAACAACATTCCCCTAAGCTTTCATCTGAGACAAGCAGATTGCTACAGAAAGCAGTACTGTGGCCCAGCAAGTGAACTGGATTTCACGTTCTATTGTTGCAAGGATAATGCAGTATTTTAGGGTGAACATTTTCTCTTTCACCCTCAAGAGGTCAGCAGAGCATTCCACTTTGTACATCTGAAACAGGATCTCATCCATTTTCTTTCCTAATACATGATAGACTGAATAACAGGGATAGAAAATTAAATCCCTGTCCTCTTATACCCTTGAATTAATTAATTCAAAAAAATTATGAAAATATAACTGTTGCTGTCCAGAGGGCAGAAAGCCACAGAACAGCAAATATGTTTGATTAAAATAAAATGCGAATGTTTAGAATATCAAAGACCTCAATCAATCACCTGAAATAACCAACACATCTAATATTCAATGCTCAACTCTACACTTATTTGCTCTTATCTCAGAGAAACTTTTGGTATTCAAGGCTAACAGTGTGCTTTCCAGTCTCAATCCTACTTCCCAGTGCATGAGCAGAGGAGCCCTATGATGGAGGTTCGCTGACGTCTGAAAAAGGAGAAGTCAGTTTTTGACACTGGGGAGCAATCCTGCTAGGTATGCAAAGGTGTCCAGGGAAGGAAAAATAGCAACTTACTGTGGCGCAAGCACCAAACAGGTGCAATACAAAACTGCAATCAGAATCTATCGTCTGCAGCGCTTTTCTGGGACTAGTTCTTAAATCAATGGAATAGAGGAATAAGCATCCTTCAGTCACATTTTGTCAATTCCAATTAAGTTATGAACAATAGAATTATTCAAGGGAACCACAGCTGGTGTATCAATATAGACTTATACCTTACCTGTCTTGTGGAAATATGAGAAGTTGCTCTGAATTGTACAATTCCTGCAGTACATTTGACAGAAACTGACCCCACCACCTTTCTCCGCCACAGAGCTGAACAAGCAGAAGGCCAGTGTGCAATCGGATCTTTGGGGTTCCACTGATACACAGGTGTTTAAATAATTCTTCACAAGCCTGAGCATGAAAAGTACTTTGCAGAACCACAGGAACAGAGTGTCCTTTTAAGAAAAGAGAACAAGCAACTATGTTTTGGGAGGCAATGGCCTGAAAACATAGGAGGAAAAATTTTGTAGGAAGATTTAAAAAAAACATTATGATTAGACTGATTGGCACAGGGGGGAAGGAGGAGGGGACACATGGGGAGATGGTAATTTGCAGGTAACCCATAAAGACTAGGCCATTTGGTCAAAGTCAAATCAACTTCAAGTCAGTGCAAATAGTCCCATGGAATCTACACAAAGCAAGTACCAAACCATCATTAAGCTTAAGAACTAACCGGAACAGAAAATTACAAGACAGACACACCTATCTATCAATAGGAAAATGTTCTGCCTCTTTTTTTTTAAAAAAAAACAACAAACAACCACAACACACCACTACTCCTACTCGGACTTTTCCATTTTGAGTCCAAGAACTCTTTCAAATGGCAAGTTTAAGAAAAAAAAATCCTTACTGGATACTAAAAGCCATGAACTGAGTAGAGATACTGGTTTTATGACTTCTTTTTCCCCCCACAGAAGTAATTTCTCCTTCCCCTCCCCACTTCTAACTGCTTAATCCATCCCCAGTGTTGCACAGGCTTCAACGTACAGTTCCTTCCACAGCTGATTCTACCTATGAAAACAACATGAGTATTCTGCCTGGACAGTCTTTCATTACTTCAGCAAACCGAATCAGCCCATAGAAGGATCAGACGACTACCTGAACAAAGGAACATGCAGCCATGAAAAGGGAGAAGGACCTTGACACCCTCTCCTATCCTTTTAGGGAGCAGGAAGTGGGTTACGTCAGCTTAGCACCACTGTTGAACTTTTACCAGCCACTAAAATCATAGTAAAACATAACTGAACATAGTTTGAAAGCTTTATAGTGGGAAGGTACAGACCAAGAAATAGAAACACTTGTAAGTTGTTTCTACTAAACATGACAAAAATATCAAAACCTCAAAAAATACTAACCATTGGAAGAATGAAGCAAACTAAGCAAAGTATCCAGTAAGTATCTAATGATGGTGCGTAACTGTTCTGTGGATGACATCTGAATCAACTCTTTGGGATCAGACTGCTCCTTCAGTGTTTTCCTGCTTGCACCTAAAGCTACTTTGAGCCTCTGAACAGCATGGTGAGCCAAGTTGAGTTGAAGCTGTAGCTGAATGCAGTCCTGGTAAGCAGAAAATACTCTGCTATCTTCCTCTACTGCCTTGTCTGGCTTCCGTAAAAAGTACTGGGCATTGTTAGCACTATTGAGTGGTGGCAGGTCAATACTCTGCAGAAGGATTTCTAACCGATGACAGGCCAAGTTGTACCTAAGGGAAACATGCCAACACACAATTCAATCGATATCAGCAAACAGCAATACATTTGACAGTCATCCTGCCAGAAGACAACTTCTGGTCCATTCTGAATGCACTGTTAAAACAGGTTTTGGAAAAAACACAGTGTAGTACTCTTTGCTACTGCTATAAAGATATCCACTGTAACAACTCTACAACACAGCAGAGTTTTCTTTGGTCTGAAGAGTATCATGGTAAAAAAATAAATCTGTACCATTATGATATCCCAGTGTTTTAAGTTTACCCCAGTTTAAGGTTGTTTTTTTTTTCTTCTTCTAACCTGCACTGTATGTCTTCTTGCAACGCAACCATCATTGCCAAATGTTGGTCAACTTCTGGCTGATTTGCAGCTTCACCTTCTCCTCTGAGGGGATCGTGCATCAGTTTCAGCTCATTTTCAAAGGGTAAGATATAGGTATGGCCATAATAAAATCCTAATGGGATTTTTGCTCTGGCATTTGTGCTACCATACCGACCGATAACAGTGATCTGAAAGAGAATGCAACTATACTGTAACACAATTGTAACAAAATAGGCAAAATAAACACCAAGTCAAAAATTCATAAAATTCATAGACAACTAAAGTTCTGTCCAAAGAGAACTTGACAGGAAGTTCACATGCTAACAAAGATCAAGTGCTTAAAAGACAAGAGTATGCAGGCTATCGCCGTTTACCTTCATAAACCTGCAAACTGGGGGTGGCAACAAGTCATGTAAAATAAGTGAATGTGTGCTAATGTCAGTAGCCACTACCAGCCGCCTTCCATCCACTTCTTCTCCTAAAGTCCAGATGTCAATTGACAAAGAAGCCAAATCTCCACAAGTGGGAATCAAGACGTCTGTTAGCAATATAGGTCTTCCAAAATCTAAGGTCACAAATCTTCTTGCTCCTAGGGGAAAACCACAGGATTGCATAAAACACCAGTGCACGCTAACCAGCTGAGATGTTACTTCTCAAACAACAAAGCCATTGTTTATAGATTGTTCAGAAAGTGTATATTTGAGGTTAAAAATAGCTGCACAGTCTCAGAATCTCTCGCTACAGCTTGTACCCTTTGAAAAGAAAACGTTGGCTTCAACTTACTTTGTTTTGCTTTTTATGCACTATTTCAGAACAGGTGCTCTGTCCAGAGACCTAACATACTCCCCCAGCCCCCATGATTTTTCAACTTGATAAACATCACTGAATGCTGGGTCTGAAACTTCCAGATGCAACAGAAACGCAAACTGAAAAATATCTTTTCTTTGGAAAGGCAAGTGAGACTACAGCTAAGCAACTAACTTAAGACCCTGGAAAATATTCCACTTCCTAATTAGAAAATGTGTCAAAATTATTATTAGGAATTCTGGTTTTACCTGAGTGCATTCGCTCTATAATAATTGACTGATGAGGCGGAGGCTGAAGAAAATGTGAGGCGTGAGATATTGCAAGAGCAAGACCAGATCCAAGTGGATTCTGAGGAGTAGGAAAACATCAGTAAAATTAAGCCATTAAACTCTATGTCTTTATAATAAGCTGTTCTTTATCAAAGGCTATAAGAAAATCTCTTGAGATTTAAAGATGTACAATTTCGACAACACCGCACTACATTCAGATTTGAGCATCAACGTATTAACTACTAAGTTCAAAGGATTAATAATTCCTTACACAATTAAGATAGCTCCAATTAAAATAAACCATTTGAGGTACTATAACAACTCTATCTTGCTTTCAGAAGTCTTCCTTCCCATGTGGTCTGAATTTAGTGATAGTTTTCACATCTCATCCAAATACACAGATATCTGCTAGCACTCAAGTACAAATTAGATCCTGATAAGGCTTACAGCATCTTGTTTCTAAAAGAAAAACACACAAAAATAATTACCGTTCTAGACTTGCTTGTGTTTTTGTTATGCGCTGCAAGGTTAACTGTTGGGGGATCAATGACTGAGCCAGGGAAAAGCTGAGCAAGCTCTGCATTAATGACAGCAGAAACTGCCTCATTAGGTGGAGTCAAAGGTGGAGTCATGAAGAGAGGAGTTGTTTTTGGTGTGGGTGGAATGACATCTGAAGGATGGATGAAGAACCCTGGGGCTGCTACTGGATTAGAAGGCACAGAGTTGTGAACAGGACCAACTGCTGATGCTGCAGCTGCCGCCGCTGCTGTTGTCTGATGCAGTTTTGCTTCCAGCTTAGCTTTCTGCAGGGAAAAGGAAAGCAGTGTATGTAGCAGATAATACCGCCTGTGAACACAGCAGTAGTACTGAATTAGAAGTTCAGCCTTCATTTAAAACTACATTTAATAAACCCAAGCTACCTTAAAGAAGCAACCTCCAACTATAAGCTGAAAAATGAAACAATTCAATTCAACCTCACTTGCTGAGGAACATGAGTAATGAAGTTATTAACTGGGGTAATCAAAAAATAATAAGAAACGTACAAATGAACAGCAAAGTAGAGTCAGCACAGCCAAGCTTCATACTGACAATGGCTTTACGACTGGTACTTCCCTGTGTCGGAAACTGCACTTTTCATTGCAGTGCGCTTTTTCAACTTCAGATTGATATACTTACGTATTAAGCTTCTATTACAAACTCCCAACCCACCCTCAAAATACACAAAAAACCCCAAGTCTGAAAGACCAAAGCAGCATGGGAGACACACTCAGCATTTTGCTTAATAAGAGTGATCCTCAGCGCAGAGCTGTTCCTTCCTCAAACACACTACGGAGAAAAAAGGGAACAAAAAAAAAAAAAAAAAAGATAAAAAAAGGTGACTAGCTCTGCAACTACTTTCTCAGCTTTTGAAGTCTAGAGACAGCATTAAAAAATAGCCAAATAGCCTCCAACCTGTTGCTGAAGCTTCAAAAGCTGCTGCTGTTTCTCTTGCAGCACCTGGAGCTGTTGCTCGGCTGAGGCCATTGCATGAGAGAGAGACTGCAAAGCTACCTGGGCTGCTGAACTCAGTGCTGTCGAGGCTTCCCCAACCGTTCCCGAAGAGAGGCCACCAACTGCTGGGGTAACCCCAAAGGTACTCACTGGCATGAAACAAACAAAAACAAACAAACAAACAAAAAAAACATGTATGTAGAAGAGAAATGATAAAACACACCTTTAATTTAATTCCTTACTAACTGTTAAGAGCAATGTCAAAACAAGAGACATAACTTGTTTTATGCAGTTCTTGCTACAATATAAGATCACCTTGAATCACAAAGCCTATGGTTTACAGACTCACCATACATGCAACATTTTCATTACAGAAGAGCTACCTAATGCCCTGGAATTCTCTCACCATGTAAGGCTGCAAGGTAAACATGCAAGCTTGTATGCTATGCTCTCCAACAGAAACAAATCGTTTCAAATTAATACATTTGGAATCCAGTTTGTTAAGCTCTAAATTGTTTAATTTCACATACAGCAACTATTAAAAAAAACAACACCACATTTCAACACTTATAAAACTATAGATAATCTGTTTGTCAAACAGCACTCATTATGACCAATCAAAAACAACATACTGTGGAACTATGCTAAACAGAAAAAAAATTAAAATTTGTATATACCAGTAAACGTACTTGCATCGTCCCTTTCTATTCTAGTTCCATCACTTGTTGAAACACAGGTAAAGTGCAGAGGCTCAACTTCCAGAAGTCCAGTAAGTGAAGTAAAACTACCTTCAGCAGCTGCACAGCTACTTATTTTCCCATTTCCTGAAAAAGAAATAAACATCTACACAATCAGCTATCATTTTCCTGATAGCGACGCTTCAAGTCATGAAGAGTCAAAAGCGACAACTAAGTATACTGCACATACTGCATTACTTCACATTGTGGAACAAACCCCTTAACACTACCACATCCATAATATAAATGGAAATCTGTTTTGAAATGGATAATGCTGCCAAATCTGAACAGAGCATCTTAAATCGAACTATCAAATGGGACAGCAGAATTCTAAACCGTCTAAATTCCAGACAGACATACATTACATATGCATGCTCGATTCTTTCTACACTGTGAGAAAATCAGCTTGCAAAAACACATTGATGTTACTGGAAAGGAAGATCGAGAAAACAACAGACTGACTAAGATCATACACCACATTAGTACAAAACCTAGACCATTACTGCATACAGTAACAAATTCACCGTGTTGTATGGAGGGAGGGCTGGGAAAGAGATGGACAGGAGCGTACAAGAAAAGGGAATGAGTCACTATGGTGAATATGCTTGCTATGAAAAGAATCTCCTGACAGGTAAAAATGGTCTCATTCTTAGGACACTCCATGGCCTAAAGATTCACTTATGAACTAACGGAACTGGACAGATACAAATATGCTTTTAAGGTATTTTAATGCCTCTGAAATAGAAAAAATATCTCATTAAATTCGTAATATTTTAGTAAAAGAGTGCCATATGGCAGCTTCCCAACTCCAGAAAATTCCATTTAGATATGTCTGCCTATGAGATGGTTGCTAATCTAAATCAGGAACAAGTGTCTCAAGGAAGCTGCTCAATAGAAGTGACAGATGCTTCCTAGATGACTCTGACCCAGAGAATGACAGCAGCCTTTCTGTTTAATCTCTAGGCTTTTCTTAGATCTTCTATGGGATAAGAACAGAACAGATTCCAGCAAGAGGCTTTTTTCTTGCCCTAAGGCCTACAGGAAACAGAGTATCTTGAACTTCATTGTGTACAGCTATAAAACAGATGGAAGTATAAAACCACATCTTCACTAAAGGAAAACAGTATGACAGAGAGAATTACCAGTTCTTCCACAATAGATTACTGTTAAACACCCCTACCTGATAGAACGTCAGACAAATCTATTTCATCTGACTGTACTCCAATGCTGCTGTTGTACACATTTTTACAAGAAGAGCCACTTATTTCCAAATCAAACAGAACTGGATCAAAAGGCGAACTATATAATCCATATCTGCAAACAGAATAAGACAAACAGTACTATTCAAACAATATGAATTTATATAAAATTATTCACAGAAAGAGGCTAAGTATTTAATAATCAGGATTTATTATATTCCAAACTATTCCTATTCAACCAACATATCTTAAAAATTAACATCTACTTATATTTCATTAAAGTAATTTTTTAAGTGACCTTTTCAAACAGCTTATGATGCTAAATAAGTAACGCTCTGTTACTAAGTAGTTTTGAAGATGTAATACTGTCCTGGAAATATGACACCTGATCACACTCAGACATGGAAACTAGAACCACAAGCCTTAGACAATTAGCCACAGCACCACGCATGCCAGCACGCGGTAAATCAGACATTGATCTGAAGTCAATAAAAACACAGTACTGTTTTCCAAAATAGCACAAGAAATTCCACCTCAGCTTGTTCTTCCAGCTGAGGTAAGAAGAAAAAAAGGAAATGCTGCTAGGGATACCAATCAACACTTGCGAGCACTTTAAATATCCCAACGGAAGAAAATCTCATTGCTCTTACTCCAGCAGTACTGCAGGGGAAAAAACAATACAATCACTCAAGTACCAAGGTGGTCCCAAATCAATCAGGGTTTTACAGGCCAAGAAAAAGGAAAATCCAAAGTAGTAACAACAGCAGTGATGGGTTTTTTGTGTACCAATACCTATGACCAGCAGCTGACAAGAGAAGAAAAAAACCCATGGAAATCAGGCCAAGTTCTTAGGTAGGTGTAAAAAGCAATTCTGTGTCTGCGTAGGTACATAAATGAGAAACATGTAACACTGTGTTTTGACTGGCAGAGCCAGAATAAAGGTGAAATGTTTCCATGAACACACCAGTAGTGACGGGAAGTTCCTCCACCCCCTCTTCCCTTTGCCTCCCAGCAGCTTCTCTGTTCTTCAGGAGGCAAGGAAAGCCCCCACAGGTACCGCGGAGAAGGCTAGAGTGTGTCAGTGTCTTTTGTGATCAGGTAGACACAAAAGGATAAACGTCTACATGAATTCTACAACACCAGCAACAAGGCAGAATGTTAAAATGCTTCCACGTTGGCTGGGCTCAGTGCTTTTTTGCCACAAAATATTAAGACTCTAACTACTCAGAAAATTCTGTTATACTAAAGGGCAAAAGTTGCTACCGATAAAAAAAAAAAAAAAAAAGAGAGAGAGAAGAAAGAAAATCTGAGAAGCTACCCTATTTAACATACATTCCCCAAGTCATTCACAAGCACCTATTTAAGACGACACCTTTACACTAAGAGCAATACATATCAGATGAAACTAAGCTGCTCTCTACAGGCATGTACTACACAGAAACTGTGCATACTGCACGTCTAGCAAGATGAACATGTTTGCTGCATGACTTTTTCCATAAGCAAAGCAAGACAAGATGCTACTGGAAAGTGGTTACTAAAACACACAAAAATGCTCAGATAAAATTCAGTAGGGTACCTTCACAGCCTCTTTGAGACCTCGGGTTTACAAACTCAATAAATTAGGTCAGCTCAACATTAACACTTGCATGATTTAAGTGAAGTTTGATTTATTAAGAAGCTGGTGATAAAACCTGAAGAGGGGTTACAAGAGCTTTGTAGAAGAGGATCAGAATTTGAACATGTTGCAGAGAGTTAAATATATTCTGTTCAACCCAGA